AAGTGTATTTGTGATGACAAATATAGAGACAATGTATATATATATACTGTTTTCAATACATCGTTAAGTATACACACCATTCATACCAAAGTTACAGATTTGAAAATAAGATAATATCATTAACTATACTTTCTTGACAAGAATAAGGATAGACATATCAGGTTTTGTGTTTAAATATTCTATGTATATTATAGCCTGAGTGTTAAGAATTATTGGACAATGAAATTGCCTCAAACTGCATTTTGAGAACATGACATTTCATGAATTGACCTATATAGAAACACGTGGCGGATGTCGTCGATCAAGCAAAAGTTCTTACGTTTCCAGATGACCTGATTTTATCATTCTTGTTGTGTTTTAGGGATCTTTGTTCACGCTTGACCCCTATTAAATATATTTTGATTATGAATTACGACGATATATACGATATTATGACGTAATTTGATTACATTGAATAAATCTGTTAGCACGTGTTTCAAAAATATTATGTTTTGGTCTAGAAATATTCAAAGAAAGAAACAAAACATGTTACACCGACCGTATATACATTAATGGTGCCTCAATGTATTGTTAATATCACGACAAAGTGCTGCCAGTTTGATTAAAATACTCATGCCCAAAATAAATATTAGATGAATTTATTAATCAATTAATCAAACAATAGGATTATTTTGCAACAACTGAACAAACATGTTTAATTTTGCGAGTTGTCGTAGACCAACCCGACAACAACACAGCAGGTGTGTATATAGGAACAGGTAGTCAATGGAAACTAAATATAGACTAAACTGGAGTGTAATGGATAAATCACTCGTCAGGCTCTTCATCGATAAAACCATAAATCACATGTCCATGATGGTATTGTTTGCTATGTTATATACGAACTACTGTGAAAGTCAAACAACGAATAACTATAAATAAACCCAGTAAAACATCATCGACATTCTGTAACAAAATATGGTGAAGCAGGAAATTAAATATTACTAGAGGAGTTAAGGAAGGACGAAGCAACTGTATGATGTAGCATCACTGAAAAGTCCTAGAAGGACGAAACAGCTGTATGATGTAGCATCAATCGAGTCCTAGAAAGATAAAACAACTGTATGATGTAGCATCAGTGACAAGTCCTTGAAGGACGAAACAACTGTATGATTTAGTATCAGTGACGAGTCCTAGAAGGACCAATAACTGTATGATGTAGCATCACTGTCGAGTCCAAGAATGACGAAAAGGTTGTATGATGTAGCATCACTGACGTGTCCTAGAGGAACGAAACAACTGTATGATGCAGCATCACTGACGTGTCCTAGAAGGACGGAACAGTTGTATGATGTAGCATCACTCATGAGTTCTACAAGGACGAAACAGCTGTATGATGTAGCATCACTGATGAGTTCTACAAGGATGAAACAACTGTGTGATGTAGCATCACTGACGTGTCCTAGAAGGACGAAACAGCTGTATGATGTAGTTTATTTCATAGTTTTGTTAGACTGTTTCTGATTCTAAATGTGTATTGAGGTCACATTCAATGGTATATCTTTCTGTATAGTGCTGTCATCTCTTACCTCTGCTATCTTGTTTGAAAGAAAGTCTCTTTGTCCCATTAATATGTTCGTACACGTTTCCATTAAATCTGACTGTAAATCACCGTCTTTGATCTTATCAATTTGCACGGATTGTGTCGATATTTTAACAACAGAGAGTTTGACCTTTAGGTAAAGACTAGGCTTGTTACATACCACACTGTAAAGGGATAACACTTAGCACTCTGTATAACGAACTCACTTTAATAACCTAGAGAATAGCTTAAAGGCTCTGAACAGCTTGAAACATAGTGACTCACGTGACATCAGTGCTAGCGGCAAAGAGACGAGCCTAATGTCAAATATCGGAGATAAAATAATTTTCTTCATTGGTAAATAACTAAGATTGTTAGTGTGTTAAATAATTTAATCTTATAAACATCTATGATCAACAAGCTTTTAGCAAACCTATTAAATCCATAACTGTCTTAATGTTAATGTTTCTTAGGCAGCAAATCAGTGAAACCTCGGCATTATTAAGTTTTAAACAGTTGTTAAACAAGTATAAACAAGTGATATAACAAAGAATATTTTTGGAAGCACACAGATGGATGTAGTTCCTTTCACCTAGCCGTCCGCGGTTCGACTCCTGGAACGGACGTGAAAATGTAAGGGTCACCTGCCCGACCACGTGTTCTTTCCCCGGGTACTCCGGTTTTCTCCCGCAATAAGACCTCTCGCGCTTACATCCGGGCCAACAAGAGTGATTACTATTAGTTGAAATAAGTTGTTTCGCAATCGTTTTAAAATAAATAAAGTTGATAGTTTATAGGTGGATGTAGTGTGGAAGACAGTACCCGGACCGATTTCTTTATAATATTATATCATTGTTAGGGAACTTGTAAACTGGTGTATATAAACAAGCTGATCATCATTTATGTGTTCTCTACCTACCCACAGTAACCCCAAACTGTCTCGATGTTCAAACCCACTTGTATTAGCTTTTAGGTTAGTAGGGCTGTAACTAATAAAATGTAAGTTTGTGTACAGTGCGTGTTTTTAGGAAGAAGATTTCTCCAATATCCCTGTCCTGAAATGTTATTAATTATACACAACGCTGTTCAGCTGTTAAAACCCAATACTGTGGTTGAAGATTAAAGCCTATTTTGTTCTAGTCAGTCACCTCTGTACAGAAACGCCCTTTATTGACGGGAATATATCAAGTGATTGCTCGTCTGTCACAGAAGCAAGCACGATAAAGAAACAATGGCATTCGACCCTGTCTGTTTGCCTGTGTTAAGAGCCTTCGTGACCGAATTGAAGTTAAACTGCCGTCATAACTCTTCCTGTAAGATCTACCATCTACTATTAGTACTCAGACAATATGTTCTGATCAGTAACATCATGTTAAGGTAAACAGCAACAGAACAGCCCAGGCGAACTAACGAACATCCAATTTCGTGTCTTACAAGGACATAGAATGACTTAATTATGGTCGTACAAGTGCCCCGTAGTTTTCATCCACCCGCAAATCTCCAAATTCTGAAAGTTTATCGGACAGGTAACAATAATGTTGATTATCTGTAAGTGATGTACAATGTTAACTGTGATAAGGTTTGATACTTTTTCTAAAACGTGACTTTTTTACCATTCTTACCTTTAACCTTTAAGTTTGAGCTTGATGTGTTTCCTTGATTTGTTGTATTGTTTTGTCCTAAATAGCTCTAATTGTCTATTGGATGTTAAACAATAGAAAAACAAACAAGCAAACAACAATTCGTCGCTCTCTGAGTGATAACATTTGCACTGAATTGTCCTATACATAGAGCATACTATAAAATATGTTATTTCGAGAGTTTATATTTTGGAGGAAGACACAAAATAAAACCGCTTATATTTGAATTAGCGAAAAAAGCCTTTTTTACAGTAGCCTTTCAGTCTAATTCTGGTTCTGTGTTCTCTTATTTGTTATTTCACACCTTTTTGAAATGTGACATTACAGTGCAATCACACACCTGCTGGAGTTTTATGTCCGGACCTAATATGCTATGAATGACTAAGTGACCGAGAAAAAAATTACTGCACATTTGAAAATAAAATTCTCAACCACGCCCACCACAAGTAAATTACAACATGATAACCAACACTAATACCTTGAATTTGGAGAGTAGATATTAACGAGGTAATGGGTCTCAAGTGTGTGTTTACAATGACAAAAACAAACCCTACAAGACTTTAAGAAGGCCTCATATCCTGCAGGTGTAGAAAATCTGGTCTAGAAACATGTTTGGCTGTCTATAACAACTTGCCATCAGGTCTCAAAGTCTCCCCACCTGCTGAACTAAATATACCAGAAGATAAGTTATACAAATGTTGATTTCAAACTTGAACTTTTGATGTTAAGTTCTGTCCACGTATCAGTATTTGTGCAGGCTTATTTTAGTTTCAAGGTCGTCGCCTGGGTTCTGAACAACATGTTAAACTTCTAGCATCATTTTATTTCTAAGATGAAATATACGTTATACTAGTAGTTTTGTCTTAACTGGTAGTAGTTATGCCCCCATTCATGTCTTACAGACATTTTCTAGTTCAATTAGCCATTTACTAAAATCGTGTAAATATTGCTTCATTTTCAACTGTAAGAAGATGAAATAACTATTTACAATAAATGAGAATAAAATTTGTTGGTGTTTACCATGTTCTCATTTTGGGAACGTGACATTATTTACGTTACTTGGTTTTTCCAATACCTACATGGCGGGAGTCGACGATGAAGCAAAGTAAGCTACCTTCCGAGAGACATGGTCTTTTTATCTTTGAAAAACTTTTCAAGAGTTGTCGTGTAGATCTTTTTGTATTTTGCTAATTCTAAATTTGTGTTAGATGATACTGTATAATCATGTGAATTTTGTAACTTGTACAATCTTCATTGAAATTAATATTGATATGTAGACATTTTTCGCTGTTTTCAAACGGATGTTATGATGTATGAAAATATGCGACACTGGTGAAAGTTATTAATATAGCCTTTTGTTACTTATTATGACAAGAAAAACAAATATGATTTAAAAACCCAACCAGGTCGGATCATAGAACATAGATGAAATGCGTCTCACTACGGTGTGGGTTGATAGTTCAAGGCAATTAATTTCAAATTAAGGTTAAAGTGCAAAATGTGCCGTGTAGTATCCTAAATAATGTCAAACAAGATTCACTGTCCATGTCTTTGCGTAGATGCGTAGTCATAGCAAAATTGCAAAATGTGAAGCATGGTGACAAAAATGTTTTCTATGCAACTCATTATAAGTGATTTCTCCCTTCTGAAACGCAATTAAAGTTTTCATACGTGAGATAAGGGCATGCCTCTATATACTTCGTCTGTCAGTCATGATAACGAAGGTAATTTTAATTGTTTTAAAGTTATCCGTTGTGTTGTATTCAATTCTCAAAGAGGAAACTATTTTGTATTTTCAGATGACGAGGCTAGCGTCGAAGAACGAGAACTGACCGAGAAACTAACCCGTTTAAATGCAGAGGTTGCAAAAGCTAATGCTGACCTGTCAGAGGCGCTCCGATTGTCAGCCGAAACTGAAAGTACAGCAGTCAAGGCACAACTAGCAGCAGAGAGGGCAAAAGAAGAAGCTAAACGAATAGAAGAGGAGCTAGAATTGAAATCTAAAGTAGAAGCTAAACGGAAGATTGAGAACCAGAAGAAGATGGAAGCTCTTCAAAAGCAAAAGGAACAGGAAGAGAGGATGGAACAAGAAGCAAGAAAGCAGAAAGAAATCGAATGGAAAAGAAAGGAAATGAATGCTGGCGAAAAAGGACCGATCTGGGAAAAATGGCCAACACATGAGTAAGTAGATATATTCCGTGTGTTTTTAATGTGTCGGTTTCGACTGAAGAATAATGCAATCGGTGAAAAATTGTACTACTCATTAAATAAGTATTGTATTTGGTAATCACTTAATATATATTTTTACATGTACAAATGTAATACTCTGTATATTCACATGTTTCATACTCGACGCAGAAGAAATTCAGAGGAAACGTATGTTTATAGTATCAATATAAGTTGATAGCAATTGCATAAAAAAAATGATAACCCCTTTGTTGAAATTATCTTGATGACAAGAGTTTTCAATGTTATGCGTATTGTGTACAACGTCCATATCTGTTCGATTGACATAAATTCTGCAAATAAGAGAAGCAGCTTACACATCTATTCACCTTTGCGTTTCACAAGAAAAAGTCCGTCCAACACAAGAATAATACTTTGATTTTAAAAAAGATACACATGTCAATTGCACAATTCATCACATATTTCAGATAAAAACAAAAAACAAAAATAAAATAAACCCAGGAAAACACCATCATGTCAGCATAACTATACACCCTCCTCCCAAACAAAAATCAATAAAACTAGGGTAAAATATGAACAAGAAAACTGAAAAAAATACAATGAGAGTATGACCACGTACTCCGAAAGAGTAAGCGTTTTCTGCTTCATCCACGACAACCACCATGTAAACTTTGTTCAATCCAAACCAGTAATACCACGTTCTTAAATGAAAACAGGCTACACAACAACGGAACCAATATGCAAACGTTTTGAACGTCCAGCCTCATATCGTACAAAACAATATAATTTCTCAATGAAATTACTATGAAGACTATAAAACCTCCCAATTATTTTCTTTAACCAGCATATTTTGAAACACCATGTTACGAGTTCGTCCGTCTGTTGACGAAGACCTGTACGAAGATCATGATATTTGGAACAGGTCCTTGAATATCGAGTCAATTGCGACATGTAAACAATAAAGGTTGAAGATGCAGTGAAATTGCGTCATAGGGCTGTTCCGTCCTCCTTGGACTAGTCAGTGATGCTGCATCATACAAGAACTCGTCAGCCTAAGGACATGATCGGTTGAAGCGAATGTTGAAAATAACTATTGACCGAAATAAACGTCATGATATAGACTAGGAGATTAATTAATCCAAAATTCTTTCCATTTCATAATTTTTCGATATCGAATGCTTTAAAAGAACGTCAAGTACATACCTATATCCTGGGCCGTACTTAAATGTTGTTAATTTACATTAAAGAAATAGTCCTTTGAATCTTCTTGTCATTAACCTTATTAATTCTGTGGCATCTATTTGGCAGTTAATCGATTTTCTTCCATGTTCCCCATTAGTCTAATAGCTTTCCTCCTACACAAACACTTATGGGTATTCTCTCTATTTATATACTACAGGAAAATAAAGGATGTAGAGCGGTATTCACAAATACATAATAAATGAATCAAGTTGAACTTGGGTATCGGCGAAACAAAGAGATTATGCTGATAAATTAATGTATGGAAACTCAATTTGCATAAGTTCAAAGACGCTTTATGTAGAATTAGCATAGGTATCCCAGCCGTCTTGTTCAGTCCTCTGTGACTGTATTACCTATATCTGCTTTTTACATAGTTGCTATAAAATGTTGGACATGATAAGATTAACATCAAACATGGTTTGAAGTTCCAGTTTTAGAAGTGTGGCTGCCTTTCTGTATGTGTAGATGTTGTGTTCTGCCATTTCTGTACCACATACTTCCTCATCATTCCGGAAGTCATACTGAAAGTCAACACAATTATAACAGATTATCTTGACATTAGCACAAAAAATTACATACGTCATCAACTTACATTCAGGGAACCGTATAGAAATTGTATATAGAGATCTATGGAAAACCTATATATCTCAAACTGACAATTGTTGCCTAGAACTAATCTGATTCTGAAACATATTTTTCCTTTTTTTTATTTCAGGGTTAACATTGTTAGCGATGCTCACGAGATTGGGGTTGGTTGCATGGTGCGCGGAAATCCATCTAAATTTGACCAATCACAGATCGCATTACAAGTTGTTGACCAGATGCAATGTAAAATGACATATGAAACTCAAGAGGAGCTGGTCAGCTGTGTCCTAAAACTGACCAATAAAGCAAATGACCAGCAACATTTCGAGGTAAGAGAACATATCATATTCAACTTCGTATATGAACAATGCCTGAAATAGTCCGATTCCGTCGTCTGAAAGTGTATTCAGGTTTCTTCAAAAGTCTACCGTCTATTGCCTTTAAACAATCATTAAACGAGTATTCAATCTCTTAATGAAACAAAAACAAAAATTGTGTGTAATATTGAAATGAAAACAAAAAGTATCCCAGTATAAATATAGTATCTGTGTTGGTGTGTTTATATCTGTATTTTCCCGTTTGTATTTTTTTAGTGTATACTATCCATGCGAATTAAAATATAATAATAATAAAAAAAACACACACAGCAAAACCAATAAAAAGCAAAACGTTGTTATCTGGATTCATCAGAATTGAAATAGAAATATATAAAAAAAAGTGCTAATCATTTGTGTGTGCTTTGTACGATTTTGCGGTAACTAAATTCCAACTATACTATACTGATCAGTCTCCGAATAGTTCATTTGTATATATAGAATAATTCTATTTTTTACAGGAGCCAATCTATGTCGCTGTACCGTTTCAATTGCCTCGGTCAACTGCGTCGTCAAGGGAACCTTTCATAAAAGCAGAAATAAATGGCGAATGGAAAGAACTTCCTTCAAGGGAAGTCACATTTGAAAACTACAAGGTAAATAGCAAGGGTACAATTTAGTTATGACCCATGCATCATTATAATTCATTAATTTGATATATTTAGATACTGCTGGGTCGGTAAAATCGGTAAAGTTGTGAGATTTTCGCGGCTGTAATACCTTCCTAACAAATATATTCTTGACATGTATGTTTTTGTTTTGCCAGGATGTAAAGTTTGCTCAGGCAGAAATAAAGGGACAGACAACCTTAGCCGTGATGACAAGGTTCAAGAGAGATTACGTCACACTGTCAAAGAGGCCAACAAAGATTGTATCGTCATATGATCATCGCGTGACTCTCACAGTCTCGAAAGACACATTCAATACAAAAGAACTCTTCAGGATGCAGGTAGAGAAATTACCGATGTTTTCTTCCAACAGCTATATTTTAGAATATATCGATAGTAAAGAATTAAATAGAATATGGTATAATGGCAATGTCTTAACTGGATGTAGTATTTATTTAAAGAATGCTATCAGAAAAAATAATTAAAAAAGATTTCAAAAAGAAAATAAAAATTATATGAATAAGTATGTTTGTTTTGATGCTCGCTTTGTTTACAAATTTTGCCAATACATTTTCCTGAAAAATATACTGTAATGATTGTTACGTTTTAGGGGTTTCTACGTTTTGTTGTTTTAGAGGAATAAATAACATCGCGGTAAAAATAAAACTGATAAAGAAAAACAGTAAGTTTCTTGGTATTCGCAAAAAAGCATCGATTTTCTTTCAAGCTTTCGAAAACATAAAACCTTAGCAGTTCTCTTTATTTAGAGACCGAAAAGTTTTTTCACGATGGGCATACGTAATTGCTAAACCAGACTATCGATTGATCTTTGTTATACAAGTTACAAGTACAGATCACATTTCGACATCACAGATGTTGCTATCTCACAGAGCTGATAATGTGTACATCGATATTTATATTTTAGGTCCAGCCTGTCGATTCTGCTACAATCAATGACATGCAGATGAGACGGAGGGAATGTAAAGGTTTATTAACCTCTAGTCCCATTATACATACCGACTGGGAATCTACCAGCTTTGCCAAACCAATAACGGTATGTATACAAATGTAATACCTAACTTACACAAAGCAATGTAATACCTAACTTACACAAAGCATCGCCAATGACCATCGTCAATGACAGCGATAAATCTAGGGGTATTTTCCACCTGTGAAAGTTCTACTTTTATCTACTCATGGTAAACGTTTTTCCAAAGATTAATGATTAGGATATAACTTTCCCTCGAGAATTTTCTTAGGTTCTTTCCTATGTGTCATTATAACACGCGCCTACATGATGTATGTTCAAAGTTAAAGATAAACGTACGCACTTCGTTTCCACATCTCCATCCTATAATCTAATAATTTGTTTCTGACTGTTCAGGTAACCATTCCCTGCCCACCTAATCCCGCCAAGGCAAGAAAACTGGCTCAGATTCGAAAGATGAAGGAGGAGAAGATGAAAAACCCTGTGAAAGTTCAGGTCATTGATTACGAAAAGGAGGCCAGAAAGGAGGAGCAAAAGAAAAAAGCGCAGCAGCAGAAAGAGGCCCAAATGACGGAGGAAGACAAAGTAACGACAAAGTGGTACATGGGAGAATACGGAAATAACGACGGTAAATAACTTTGATCAGGTTTAAATGATTTCATTAGCTACTAAGTTGTGCGGTTTTGTTAACTAAGTTTAATAATCATCGGTCAGCCGTCAAAGAGCCTGCTAACTGAATCTACTTAATTTAGCAGACGTTTTGTATGTTATCCAGGCTTATGTCTTTTTCTTCAAATAATTTCTTCACTCGACCGATTTATTGATTTATTATCGACTTTCCTGTTTCAGTTCTTTTATAATATATTAAATGGATTGTCTTGAAAAAAGCAAGAAAACAATATCGACCTGTAATCATAATCCAAACTCAAACTCAATTAAACTAGAGCAAACTACGAGCATAAAAAGGTTTTACGAAGAGTTGCATGGAATATAAGACCAGGTGTTCCGGAAAAGTAAGCATCTGCTGCTTCAACAAAGACACCCGCCATGTAAATCTTGGTCAGTCCAAGTAAATAATGTCATGTTCTCAAATTTAAAATGAGTTATACAACACCGAACCACCAGGCAAACATTCCTATATATGTATCGCATTTAATATCGCATTCTCCTGTTATATCATACAACAAGAGTCACCACCACAGTGTCTTACTCGAAATTCTCATTGTATTTGTATGCCGTCTTTAAACCCCATTGTCTTTGTATGTTGCAAACAATTTATCAAGATTTGAGTTTTATATATAATTCTATCACCTGGCAGACGACGAGAATGACCTGCTGCACTTCCTATCAATGTCACACACCGGAAAATGGACCTTCCACCCGGAAATAACGGTCCAGCAAGTTAAATTAGATCTCCTCCAGTTTACGTTAACACAGCCTTTTGAAAGGTCAGTATGGGATCCAGCAAAATTCCAGACTGGAGTATATTAAGTTTTGTCTACTGTTTGATTTTGTAATTAGAAACACAATGAACAGAATGAAAGAAGTAAATGATCCAATGCTAGTTTTAACAAGTTTATGTTATTTTACTCTTCCATATCTATTTGTCAAAAAGAAAGTATTATCAAGTTAACTGCTGTTTGCACAGGTTTATCGTTCTGCGGACACGTACCAACATAGCAGAAGAAAACACTCCACCGATTGCGTCTGCAATTTTTGAGTTTCTGTCGAAGCGTTTTGCACAGGTCATCGTAAAACAAAGGTATGTAGATATAATTATCTTTGTTACATTTTATATCCAACATGTACTCAACCTCATTACATATGAGCCATGTTCTCATTGTTTAATTCTAAGTGTTATGTACTTAACGGTATATCGACAGGAAGCCTCAGGAAGACCACAAGGACTGAATCTTATGTTAATAAATTTTAAGCGACGTCGATTATTAATATTATCACAAAACATAATCAGTTGATATTGAAACCTTAATACGAAAAACTACCGGGAAAATTGCTGTTGGAAGTGCATATAGTAACATGATTCTTTTGATGTCTCACTGTATTACCTTTATCAGTAATAAAAATATCCAATATGCACTTTAAAAAATTGGTTTAAAACCCATTAATATGGCATGGACCATGTTTCGTTTCCATATATAGATATAGCTTACATTTATAATAGACAAACATGCGTAATTGTCCAGTTCGAAATTCAACCACCCGTGTTTTAACTGACAGCAATGTGCATCGTTATGTTTAAATCCCCTGATTGTAATTATTTATTTCTTCTTTCAAGGAGTGACGATCCGTTCGATTGCCTGATTAACGTTGTGCCTGTCTCAAAAACACAAAAAGTTCTCAAGCGTCTTCACGAATCAGGATATGACGACGGTCCTGATCCCAGCAGCATTGTGAACATCAATGAAGGCGATGTCATTGAAGTATCCTTCCGCGGGAACATCACAAACTCCAAAGATAAAACACTCAAACTGAAATATAATTCGAACCTGAAGTCGGAAATTGGATTTTATGCGTCAGAAGTGGATCAGTATTTACAGAAAAATTTTAACGTTTATCGTGGAGTCGTTCAGTTAGAACGTTGTTACATAGTCAAACCAGACCGGAAGTTAAAACGGTCGCCTTCTGTGGTCGATGAAAATGCCGTGGCAGCCGCCCTGGACACCAAAAGAGAGCTCCTTTGTGAAATATCAATCAACATACCAAAGGTAAAACATCAAACCAAAAGCAAAAACAAAAAGTGTTTGTCATATGGAAATTAATCAGACTCAAATTAAAAAGTAAGATATTCCGTAACCACAATCTCTACAGAGAAGAAAGTTAAACAGTTACAACGTAAGGTTCGTAATTTTCATGTGGAATTGAATTCCGCCGTATAAATACATCGGGCAAATTAATGTCAGTAAGATAAAGAAATTTGTGGATTATAATTTGATTGAAAACATTGATATTTGCCTGTGTCACCAACTCCTCAAAGTGAAAAATCTTAAAAATAAACACTTAGAATTTCAAATGGGTGTTGATTTAATACGGATTTTTTTTTCAACTTACTAAATAATTTGCTAAAATGAATATTTGTAAGCGAAAAACAGAGACGCAATGTTGACGTGATGACGTCATAAATGCTATTTCTTATAAAGAAAGAATAACGATCTGTTCAGATTTCGGCATTTTACTTGTAAAGTATGTATGTATTGGGAGAGTACAGGGTATTATCAGGATCAATGTTTGTACCTTGTGAATATATCACAGATTTTGCTGTTCCGTTAATTTTGAAAATGAATTAGCCTATATCTAAATTAGCTTAAATTTAAACTGGGTTAGATTACATCTAAACTTAATTAGCATATATTCAAAGTGAGTTAGCTTATATCTAAACTAAATTAGATTATGTATGTAAACTAAGTTAGACTATATCATTAACTAAATAAGCTTATATCTCAACTGAGTTAACTTAAATTTAAACTGTGTTAGTCTATATTTAAACTGTGTTAGTCTATATTTAAACTGTGTTAGTCTATATTTAAACTGTGTTAGCCTATATTTAAAGTGTGTTAGTCTATATTTAAACTGTGTTAGCCTATATTTAAACTGTGTTAGCCTATATTTAAACTGTGTTAGCCTATATTTAAACTGTGTTAGCCTATATTTAAACTGTGTTAGTCTATATTTAAACTGTGTTAGTCTATATTTAAACTGTGTTAGTCTATATTTAAACTGTGTTAGCCTATATTTAAAGTGTGTTAGTCTATATTTAAACTGTGTTAGCCTATATTTAAACTGTGTTAGTCTATATTTAAACTGTGTTAGCCTATATTTAAACTGTGTTAGTCTATATTTAAACTGTGTTAGCCTATATTTAAACTGTGTTAGCCTATATTTAAACTGTGTTAGCCTATATTTAAACTGTGTTAGTCTATATTTAAAATGTGTTAGTCTAGTCTATATTTAAACTGTGTTAGTCTATATTTAAAGTGTGTTAGTCTATATTTAAACTGTGTTAGCCTATATTTAAACTGTGTTAGTCTATATTTAAACTGTGTTAGCCTATATTTAAACTGTGTTAGCCTATATTTAAACTGTGTTAGTCTATATTTAAACTGTATTACTGTGTTAGCCTATATTTAAACTGTGTTAGTTAGCCTATATTTAAACTGTGTTAGTCTATATTTAAACTGTGTTAGCCTATATTTAAACTGTGTTAGCCTATATTTAAACTGTGTTAGCCTATATTTAAACTGTGTTAGCCTATATTTAAACTGTGTTAGCCTATATTTAAACTGTGTTAGTCTATATTTAAACTGTGTTAGCCTATATTTAAACTGTGTTAGCCTATATTTAAACTGTGTTAGCCTATATTTAAACTGTGTTAGCCTATATTTAAACTGTGTTAGCCTATATTTAAACTGTGTTAGCCTATATTTAAACTGTGTTAGCCTATATTTAAACTGTGTTAGTCTATATTTAAACTGTGTTAGCCTATATTTAAACTGTGTTAGTCTATATTTAAACTGTGTTAGTCTATATTTAAACTGTGTTAGCCTATATTTAAACTGTGTTAGCCTATATTTAAACTGTGTTAGCCTATATTTAAACTGTGTTAGTCTATATTTCATTGTCGTTGTAAATCCCTAGGCTAAGGTTCGTGCTGAAATCAATGGCACTTTTTTCTTCCCTATATGATGCATAAATGTTTGTTGATATTGATCAGCTTAACTTGCGATTCGGTTTTTTGTAGTACCACATTGAGCCTGCATATATCCCAGTTGTCGCCCCTGTTACCATCATAACAACCACAGATCCCGTTGACGATGATCTCATACGGGATCTTGCACGTGATATGGGCGATGAATGGAAAAAGATCGGTCACTTGTTGAATGTCAGCCGCGCAAGAATACAAGCGATCATAAGGAATGTCGCAGTGAGTGACAGGTCGGAAGAAGATGCCCGGTATGAGATGTTACTGAACTGGCTCAAAAAGATGCCAAAATCAACAGATAAGGTATGTTGATGACGATGATTTCTGCTTATTACATTAAGATTGAAAATCACTCATCAACTCGTTTTCAGTGAAATAAATTTTCTATTGCTAAACAATATAATGTTGTTTTAAAGTCACAACTATTTTCTTGTTGAAAGTTTCTTAATGTTTTCAAAGAATGTCGAATGAACATAGTTTGACAATGTATTATATTTTTATGTGAAATTTTAAATCGCTAACATTATGACTTACTTTGATGGACCAATATTTACTTGCTGTGTGTCGTCTATGAAGGAGATTATCCAACCTGAATACATAACTTACTATTCCTGTACTTTGTCAAGGATCTCCGTGAAAATCTTTCTTCGTTTTTTATCCTGTTTCCTGTGTTCCAATGCAAAGTTTACTATTTATGGGGTCAAGTGACTGCTCGTTGGTATCACTATTCTATTATCTAGTTGCTGTCAAGAATCAGTTTAACATGCAGCTTATGTTGATATATAACAGAAACTCAGTCAATGTACACTATATTACAGGTGGCTGTGTTAAGTAGTGCCTTAGTGAAAGGTGGACGTGCTGACCTCGCCGAAGATGTTAGGTCAAAATGGCGGGATTTCCAGAGCAAACACGGTGTGAAGGCCTGCTGAGCCATAACTGTAGCCATCACTTTGGATATTGACATAACGTCGTTAAAATTCTGGGGAATTATCACCACATAGGAAACAATAGAAAAACACCAAAAACTCCTCGTTCACAATAAGTTTAAAAATATTGTATTTATAACAATAGCAGGCTTATTAATCATTATGTACCAGGATATTAATCCTGGTGTTTCACCCCAAGTGACGTTGACTTATCATTACTACACGTTGCCTTATGGATAGAGAACTTCACCCAATAGATCAAAGTTGATAGGTAGATAGCAAGCATCGTTTCGTGTAGTGATCATTAATATGGTATTAGGTAGTTGACCCTAAAACAAGGATGTGATACTTCACTAAAATATTGTACTCTTCGTTGTTTAAATGCTAAAACATCATTTTGCTTTTAGAAAAGATGACGAAAATTTCAACCATCGAAAAACAACAATTACTGAAGAATACACTGAAGCAAGTACTGTTAAAAATAACTCAAGTGGAGATCCCCCTCAGTACAAATTTAGAATTAGATAAAGTAGAGTCAAACAATGAATTAACTGTATCAGATATTGTCCATTATTATTAGGGAGTATATTCCTGTGCTGTATCATCTATGACATAAGTATGATCAAAGTTACTTTAGTAGCAGTTTGGTACTACAATGAGACTACGCATCTGTTCCTTTTTATACACCGCGAGGTTAAGTGTAATGGTATGACTGAGTAAGTACTTCGTTATCAATGTAATCACAGAGGGTGATGGTGTCTTGTAAAGAATACACTACAATATTATTACAGTTAATCATCTTGTACCATCATGGTGTGATTTTAACGATTCACAAAACTATCAGAGTCTGTTTCTGAAGTATTACGAATGAGGTAGAATGAGCTTAATGAATATGCACTTGCTTTTCATGCCATCATGGTGTTAAAAATCATTTTGATAACGAGTTATTAAAGTACATTTTACCACTTAAAGACGCCAGATGGTGTTTAAAGAATATCATGACTGAGTTGTCTAATCAAAATGCAAATAAATAGCTTATATGAAATAACAGACATAAGTCCATTACGTTTCCTCTGTATTGTTTAAGGTATATGCTATCATAATGATATCATAATGATAATTTGATTTCTTCTTTGATTATAATCTTGAAAGGATTATCACATGTCAGACAAAACAGTTTTGTATTACTATATCACTTAATTAGCTATTAAATGCAATATATAGATTTTCTAGCGTTGGATCTATAGAGCACTTACGTATCATCCATAATCAAATCCATGTCTTAAACAGCGAGGGATCAGTCGTTAAATTTTGTTCCATCATTGCAAAATTGGACAAAAACAAAATATGTAAAAATGTCGAAACGTACTTGAAATACAAATCTGTCGAATATACCTAATGCACGACTAAGGAGTTTAATAACGAAAAATATTTTCTATTCTTTGCAGCCAGTGCAAACGATGCTATTGACAGAGGAGATAGGTATTATGTTATTGGTATATATCCCTATACTAAAACATATCACGTTATACATTCTTGCTATTAAGACCGTATGGATCCGCACGTTATAAGTCAGTACGTAGGACTATTCCTCGTGTTAGTTATCCGTCCATCATTTCGTATTTATTTCATATATTTATTTACATATCTTATATCAGAAGTCTGTGATAGATCCTAACCATCTTTTTCATATAATCTGTTACATATGGGATTTTCTGTTATATATCGTTTTTATTTTCCGTCCAGTTAGTCATCCCTGTGATATCAATTATATTTTAAAATAGTTTTGCATATGGATTATTTAACCATTAAATCTGCATTTCACATGTGTATACAAAACAAGATATGGAATAGGATGTCATTATACTTTGATCTCTACGTTATATATGTCTCGAAACGAATGCCACCCATGGTTTTTGGAAAGTACGAATTTTTTTATCTTGATTTTCTAAAAAAAAAAGTTATTTTCATTTATTTCCTTCTTTGAATATATTATGAAGTCTATTTTTTATTGACTGTTAGATTAACTATAAATGTCATTTAAAGTCTTTTGTCTGGAAACAAGAGTTGAAGAATTTGTCACTATGTAAAATAATTAGTATAAGAGCAGAGCATTTCGTTATTACCTTGATTGATTTCTCTTACACATTTGAAGTTTTCTTTGTCTTTATTTCAGGGAATTTGAGTTAGAATTATGGCACCGTTTACATATTTGTGCTCTCTCCCCCTCTCTCTCGCTCTTCGTGTTTTTAATTAGTTAAGTAAATATACATTACGAACGTAATATGTAAGTTACAATTCTTTACTATGCTTGCACTTTAATTCTAAATATTACTCAAAGTGCTCATTGTTACTATATTGACGTAGTACCTCATATGTGATGACGAAGTACCTCATATCAGTCTCTGGTTTATAAGTTGTAACTTTTGGAATATAATTTTAGTGACTATAAATAACACTTTCAAATATATTTTGCTTCATTGAACTCATTTCTACAAAAGTTGAGATTATCCTTTATACTCGTGCCATGAAATTACAGATAAAAATGTTCACTCGAAAATTGTTTCTGTGAAGTGCTAACAGTTTTTTGATATTTCAGAGAAAAAAAGCAACATTGCTAAATGTCGCATTTGAGAATTTCATTGTCAACTACCCAATACAGTTAGGAAATTAAGGGATTTTATGTAATCACAATAGTTTTGCGAGAAAACGTTACAAACGATTTAAGAACACACATGCCTTCGTGATACTTTAGCAGCGGTATCTAAAACTCGCTTCTGCTAATAGTTTGCAATGCAGTTACTTATACTGAGAACTTAGTGAAAATATAACGCCAAAGAAATAGGGACTGATCTAATAGTCCTTTCTATAGCATCAAGGACGGATGCAAATTGTTTTTGGAATTAATTACAATTATGAACAGATTAGTCAAAATTATGTTTTTTTTCTATGAGATAATGCAAAAGTATTTTCAGCAAAAATATGAATAATAATGCAGTTTGTTTAGAAAATAATGTGATAATATGCTGTATATCAGATTATTCTTGATAAAGTCGCTGTATCTAGTGTTTAAATGTATCATATCTGTCTTTCCTACTATCATCGATCGATTAGATTGTGTATTACCGAATCCGTCCATATATATATTTGATACATTTGTAAATGAAATAAAACCAATGATACATTATCTATGCGTTACACTTCTTGTATTGAGAATGGCCTCGACATTATTCAAAATGTTTGGATTCACTTTCTGAGTGGGCTTACCCATTCGGTCAATCATTCTTAGAAGAATTTGCATCTTGAAATATAAAATGAAAACTAAACACAGGTTAGCTTCCCTTGAACCTGATGTCACATCAACACGACGAGATTTACATGAGTGTTATGTTGTTGTGTTTGCTGATAAGGCATTCAATAACTTGATTCCTGTCTACGAACATTTTATCATTTCCTGTATACAAAAAGAGACCCCATTTATAAAGACGAAAACTGCATAATCATGCTTCGGTAACAATAATTTAGATTGCCTATTAATGATACAGACCTCCCCCGTCTCTATTAGATTCTTAAACTTCTCAAGAATATATATCAACGTTTCATTGCTGGTTCGTCTATATGGTCAACCATGCCTTTGTCAAGCTTTTTAACCACCATTCATAATATCATCAAATCTTAGTTACAGTCTTGTTGTAATGACCTTTACACAAGGAGCGGAATTCATAGTTTGTGACTTTTAAAGAACTCCGAAGACCTTTTAACCAATTTACCCTCATCTAAAATCATTTCTTCTATAAGAACATTAAATTTATCCACCCTGTTCACCACCATATCCTTTTCTAAACTTCATTCTCTTGTTATGAGAACTCCCTTTTCAAAAAAGGTGAACGGCGGTATAAATATATTGTTGTGAACTATACTGAAGCGTATTAAAAAACCGTCAAAATCAAAAAGAAATGTATGGGAACTAACTGCGGCCCTCTGTCACTGCCTTGCTGCATAGTCGTTTAATTTCACCTTCAGATATATAGATGACGTCTTGTCCTCTAACAATAACAATAACAAGAAATTTATTGACCACGTCTATCGTATATAACCACCAAAATTGAAAATCAAAGACATGGCAGACTGTTCTAATTCTGATACTTATCTCGGTCTTTTCCTACAAAGAAAACAAGGAAACCTACCACTAATTCAATTCCATATAGTTAATTTTCCATTTCTGAATGGCATCTTTCCTGCATTCAAAGCTATGACGTTTACATGTCGCAGTTGATTCGATTTTCAAGGGTCTTTTCACATTATCATGATTTTCATGCAAGGAGTCGTCAATTGAGGGACATTCTCGTAGCACAGGGTTTCAAAAGATGTAAGTTGAAAATTATTGGGAACAGTCGTCATAGCAATCTTATTCAGAAACATGTTTTTCTTTGTGCCTTATGCAGCTGGACGTGTTTTATGCTCGTTGGTTTGCCTGTTGGTTACGTTATTGTATACAATGTTCTCATTTGAGCACCTGACATTACTTAACTGGATTGTCCAAGATTTACATGGCTGTTGTCATCGACGAAGCAGAAGACGCTTACTCTTTCTGAACATCACTATTAATCATTTGTTCTTATTTTGCAGTAGTTTTACTTAACTTGAGTTTGGATTATGACTATTATGACTGCCGCTGATCACAGTTTTGTTGACATACTGGTATTTTCTTTCTTGTTTTTATTACTAAAACTACACAGAAAGGAGGTGTTCACTCGCGAGTTTCATGCAGAAAGTTTTTATTTCGATTCCGTCTCAGATACATAGATATAGAACGGTTGGATCTTCAAGTTCACATACTTTCACTTAACAACGAAACAAACTCATATTTTAGTATTTCCAGCCGATCGACCAAACTGGAACAAGTGACAGACTACTAAGCATTCCACACATGTATTAACACTGAGCTCAACAATGGCAAAATAATATTTTCTGAAGGAGGCGGTTTTGATGAAATGTTTCTG